AAGGACTTGACAGTATATCATATACATTGTATCAATTGAGTATAATATTTGCAATAAAAAATATTATAAACGATGTTTAAAAGTGATGTAAAATGAAAAAAAATGACAATCTTAGTATCATTCACTGTTTTCAATTAAAGCCGGTAGTGTTTTTGAAGTGACATTATTTTCAGAAATTTCACAAGAATTGCATTGCAAGTTCCTTTCCAAGAACATCCTCCCTTTTCAAGATTACTTACAGGAAAAAAAGCTTGTAGAAAATAGCTGTAGTCCAGCATTGCTTTTCAGGATACAGAAAGCGTTGAAACACCATGAATACTCGTATCCTATTGGATGTGCATAAATTCACGATAACCTAATAAATGGAAGGTCCTGGAGAAGACGTTAGTTGTTGGTCTCTTGATTGAGGGATGGATTCCCACAAATCTCAAAACTCGGGCCTTTTCATTGATCGTCTTCATTGATGAAAGATTGTGAAAAATATTTCCACATGTTAGTTCCCTACATACAACAACAGCTAACAATAAACAACAGTAGATTTACATGCTTTCCTTTTGAAAACCTTAATGCTCAAATATTTAGGCATTGAAACCAAATTGAGTTGTAAATTTTGGTTTCAGACAAGAACGTTTCGGATAAACAACATACTTGATTGATAATGACTGGTAACGAAAGGCCAATCATTAATTGTAGTAGAAATTAATTTTTGACTGGTCGACTTGCTTCTTCAAACCAACAAATCATCAGTAAATCGTCCTTGGGACGATATACTCCTTTACGGAATCGATCCATCTCGTATTCGGAGCAATTCTTGCATCTGAAACAAATTAATGACAACATGCAGAAGTACATACATACATGCATAATTTTATTTGATATGCAGACTTTGCTAATTGGCATCATGTAGCTGATGCGGACCTGCTCTGGAAAAAATACCAAGTTTCATTAATAACGTAGTACTTCATGTGAGTATGCAGCTAAGAGTATTATCACAAAGACAGGAATTGCGATAGCAACTGATTATCCAATATTTCAGGTGATCAAACCAAAAACCAACAGGGTAGAAATTGCATCAAGGCAAAGCTAATGATAGCAAGAGAACAGGGCCAGCGAAACGTATTTGAAAGTGGAGGGGCCAAAATATCAAAGTCTTGAAAGGGCTTAGGAAAGGCCGCCACCTGTTGGCGGTGAGAACAATTTTAGAATTATTGTGTCTTAGGGATGGCCAGAAACTGTATCTAAAATGAATTTTGGCTGAATGTGACGCATAGTCGCGTCTATTATGATGTTGACTTGAAATCAGGCACCGCGGAGCGTTGAAACGATCAATCTCTGAAGTTATCTTGATGATACTTTGATACTTTATTTCTCATATCCTCAAAAATTTTCTTTGCAGCTCTTTCTTTTCTTTCAACAGCTGATTTCTCTCTTTTTGTAATGTTTCTGATCAAGTTTTCGTTAACAAATAGACCTTGTGTGCCAAGTATAGGCAATGGAAAAAACGAAAATCCGTCAATTTGTGCTGGCACCAAGTTATTCTGGACTAGGTTTCTCGATCTATTTGCTAAGCCACGCTGTTACTCGTTGTAAAACTTAGGCAATGACCGATTTCTTCGATCTAATTCCCATATTCAATTTTATGTTTGTCTTCTATGGTAAAGACATAGCAACCAAGGTAAAGCTAAGGACACATTTAAGAGAATACTAGGCAAGGTCACTTACAGAATCATACTTTATTTATTTCCACTTTTGCCTAAAATTTTTCTTTAGCTCTGCAGAAAAGTGGGGGGGGCATGGCCCCCCCGGTTTCGCCGGCCCTAGAGAAATATAGATTAATTGAAATTCGATAAACAAGCCCTTTTACAATTGATTGCTTAATAAAGCGATCTGCAAATCACTTTTCCAATTATCGTCAAGCAGCAACAATGATAAGATTAGTGTGTGCTACAAATTGTTTGAAAAAAGAACATCATACTCAGGGGCGCAGTGGGAGTTAACTTTTTGGGTGGGCAAAGCTGAAAGTTTTCCGATAAAACTATGATTTTTCCGACAAAATTTTTTTCAATACATTCCTTGAAGATTACCCTTGCCGCATATACTGCAACACTTGATACTACAATATCACGAATGGATCTCGAAATCGTTAACGAATGGATCGTTCGTTATACACCTTCAAGTTCAACAATAGCCTTTATTCTAACAAAACTTATCAAATATAAATCGCTATGAACAAAACTGCAACTAGTTATAAATTTACACCCTACAAGTCTTCTCGCTATACTAGACAGTAAACAGTCAAGTCAGTGTTTATAGCTGTTTATAGCAAAAAGTTTTTTTGGCAAGTTTTAAATCGCATCATAATTACTTTGCATTTATTTATGCTAAACCTTAAATAGATATAACGCCTCCAAAAGAATAGTTTTCTTTTAACTGAATTTATATAAACTGTTACTCAAGCAGCATCTTTCTCAAAAGAGGTGTGGCAGCATACAAATCGATGATGTCACCATAGTCTATCGACTGTAAAATATCACTTTCGACGTTGATTGTTATCAGAGAGGAAAGGCGGTCTTGTCCCATCGTTGACCGTAGCCGATTTTTTTACAATCCTCAGCTTTGAAAAAGCTGTACTCATCTCTTAATTTTTCGTCATCCAGGCCGTAATTCTTCGCAACCTTTTTGAATTACACTGCACACAACTGCCTTTCAATTGTTTTTTGAAAACATTCAGGGTTGAGCAAGGCAAAATCTGTCAAAATTGCCTTATGAGACGTAAATATTGTATTCATTGAGCTGATAGCTGTATCCACTATCACGATGATATACGGATTCCCTATTTCCCTCTAATTCATCTATGCAATTTTCCCCTGGCATCTTTTTCTTTCTGCGTATTCGTCGCTCGAAATGGGAGTTTATAAAATAACTGAGACCAGAGCGTTAATTTCCTTTACAAATTTCAGCAATGCGATGATTCCGATAAATACTCTAATGAAAATAAGTAAGAAGGGTTGAGCATGCCCTATTTTACGACAGGTTAAAAAAAATATGCGACCCTTTGGACACGATCGATGAAAACCTTACATTTTGTCTAATATTTCAAATTTTTCGACAAACGTTGGATTTTCCGACAATCCGACAAATTTTTTGCCAGGGGGGGCGGCTGCCTCCTCTGTCCCCCCAGCCACTGCGCCCCTGATGGTAGCAGTGTGGGAGTGGGGGCAAATCACCGATAAAGGGACAAAAAAAGCGAAATAAAGTAAATTGCTTAATGTTGCTACAGCAAAGCGTTCCATTCTTAGTGAGAAATCTGGTGCCTGTTTGTAAAAGATGCAGAAAATGCACCCGAAAAAAAGGAATACTTCTACACTTGAGGTTTTCAAACATATACACAGGAACAAACACCCACTTCGGTTTTTCCTCCCAAGAGGTATTTCATTGACTATCTTCCATAAAACACACATTACGCAAAATTGATTTTTGCACTTCAGATGAACAATGAGTGGTCCTGCAGCAGTAAAGCACTAGTTTTGTTGTGCTCTTCAATTTTGCATTGTTTGTATGAGTGTATTGCTCAAAGTTCGTTGTTCCCCTCGCATAAATGCTATTCTTCTGGGGCATATGTTATTGATATATACTCTCTAGGGGTGTATGCAAATATAGTGGGTTAGCATCACTCATTGCTGCTGTACATACGTTGCTACTGCGAGCATGTTTTACAACTAATTTGGCCGTGAGTACCGTAAGTTTTATCATTGATCCTGCTTGCTTAGATAATTACTTAATAATTTTAGCTTGCTTGTATAAAAACATTATTATTTATACTATCTATAGAACAAATTTTAAAACTAAGCACTTGATATAATTGAAGTTTGTCAATTCTTCTTACGTAACTAATTATCAACTTTATACTTTAACATTTAGTTAACCATACTTATTACTGAAGCCTTGCATTCGTTTTGTCGGTTAACCTGAGTCTGGAAATTTGATGCACTGGAGCTGTAGTGCATCAGAGGTTTTGCCAAAATCGACCATCTTATGGAATCTGAACTACGCATGTACGTCGACTTATTTCTACTTTGCTTGTACATTTAACAATAGAAGCTATTTAGCTTAGGCCATAACTGCACAAAAACGTTCCAGCACAGGCTGACCTTGCAACCATACGAGTCTTCATATCAAGATTTTGAACCTATTCTTTGGAAAAAGCATTGTTTGAATGAATATTTTCTAATGCATCTAATGCACTTAAATATACGGGCAGAAAGCTATTTTATGATTCAAGCCGATTTTCTGGTGTCATTGTTATATGTTTTAGCGTGTAAAACATAAGCAGTTAGATGGATTTCTTCCAATCGGGTAAATTTTAAAACAACTCTTTTTAATATGGTGGTCGACACAAAAGTTTGCTTATCGGGACTGCGCCCATTAAATCGGGAAGGTTGGAAGTTATGAACTTGTGGCTGAATTCAGTTTTCAAATTCCTCACGGGTTGTGCAGGCAGATTTCGTTTTGGCGGTCATTTCGAATGGTGGCCAAAAGGAACTTACTCCATACTGTGCCCTTGTAAATTTGGTGAAAATAAGGATTGGTTTCGTTTACCTCACTTTCGAATATCGATGTGAAACTTGGCGAGTGATCCTATTCTGTACTTCAATTTATAAATAAAAGCCAGTACCGGAAATATAGGCAATCATTCTCATTTTCCGTGCATTTACAGCAGCGGTGCTTGCTTTGCTGTGGTGTTGTCTGTCTCCACAAAATCAGATTCCACAAAATAATAATTTATATAAAATGTTTTATAGAGAAACTAGGGAGCGCTTTTGATTGCTCCCGGTATCATATTCGAAACCAATTTTTAAAGATCTAGTTTAGTTTTTCTTGGTTTACCAAAACTTCAGCGAAATTTCTAGGCCTAAATATCAATGGTGCTCTTTCAGGTTATGGGGACATATTTAAAAACTCTATAAGCTGTTTTTAATGACGTCACTCTGCTACTAACAGTACCCCCGTCGTAGGTACGAGGAAACGAAAATAATTAAAGTGAATTGCGATACCAAGGATTGTTTGTAGTGAGTTGTTGTGTAAGTTCACTGTGGCCTAATTGAATAAAATACCGCAGTCGAAGTTGTAAAATACATTGCTGGAGCACTTTCTAGTGATATTTTGAGATGAAGATGACTTGTGCCTATTTTTCAATTACGTTGATATTGAGCATAAGTTGGTTCTACTGTTGTGGAGCAAAAATTACATATCGCGAAATCTCCGAGGAATATGGGAAAGCAAAGGAAAGTCAAATTAAAACATACTTCAAGGATGTAAGTGATAGAAGGCCTTTTAACAAGCGCAATATCATGAAGGAGAATACAAGGCAGCGACGTTCAACCTTAAACACAACGACGACGAAAGCACCCGTTAGCCCTACAGCATATACGGTACCACCAAACAAAACCATTATATCAGATCACAAATATTATACATCGCAGTTTGTGTCTGACTCAAATGCATACTTTAAAGACATAAAAGCTTTATACGACGCAGGCGATCGCAATGTTACAATGAAGAAAATGACGCTGCCAGGAAGTGTCGGATCATTGCTGATGCTGTACACCACTTATAAGTTAAAGTTTGTGTTTCCTTTCTATGGCCACGATGTAGAAAATGTCGTTGTTACATCAGCAGGGTTTCTCCACATTGGTCCTGTCGTACATAGCTTTGCCCATAATGTCCACTATGCTGCACCACTTATGGCTGATTTTGCTGCGTCATCAGACAAGCCTGTATATGTTTACCTACATGATGACGGTGCAAGATTCATAGCGCAGTGGGATAACATACACGAAGTCAGAAAAAATAACAGCAGCCCTTTTACCTTTCAGGTTTCACTTTTTGAAAATGGCACCATCATCTTTTCTTACAAATCTATTCCATACAGCGTTGTGAACTTCACAAGTGTTGGTTTTCCTCCAAAAGTCGGTCTGTCAGATGGGTTTGTAAAAATAAGATATTACCGTATTCCTGGTACAAATCTACATATTCCATTCCGAATCATATATCGGTATCACAAAGTTGAATTACAACAAGATCGCATTAAAGCTAACAGCTCCTACATCTTGCAGCCAATCCCTAATTGCATTCAGGCGAAGTCATGTCAGTCTTGTTTCAGTAAAGAGATTGCCAAAAACTTTCAATGCAAGTGGTGCAGTAAGCTTAATTTATGCTCAGATACTTTTGATTGGCATCGCCAAAAGTGGGAGAACAATGATTGTCCAAAGAATGCTATAGACTCTACTGCCAAATGTGTCTCACCAAATACGGGTGTACCAGCAACCACTGCTACAAATTCTTCCACAGGTGATGTTTCTCATGCAATATCAGAAGAGAAAAGTAATAAAGATGCCAAGAGAAAAACTGGTATTGCTATTGGTGTTATCTTTGGCATCTTAGTAATTGCTGTGGCAGGAATATTGTTATATGGTTACAGGAATCCAACTTCAAGAATTGGGTTATTTATGATACAGAATAGGCCCACAAAGCTTTTTAGCAAATTTTAAGAACAAGGCACTCTGCAGGAACTGGAGTTTTATGTTTCACACAACAGAAGCTTTTTATAAGAAGTTAGTGCCATAACTAGGCTCTGATCTTTTTAATAGGTGCGCCTGGCTCATGCTATGTGTTTTGCTTTGCACTATTTTGTGTGATTAAATTATTAAAAGTGATTAATAAATGATTTAAAATTACCTTCTCTCAGGCTAATGCAACTCCAAAATGAACACAAAGAACATAGAACACCTATGTTAACAACAAAGGATACTTTTTGAACTTTTTATGGTGCAGAAGTTCTTGGCTAGATTTCAAATGAGATTTTCTACAAGAATTTAGGATACAATGTCCTTTTCTTTAGAAGAACTTAAAAAGAGAGAATGAATACTGAAGCCCATTTGCACTATATTTGCATCACCATTTCACACAAGAATGTACTATTCTAATTTCGAATGTTTGCATTATGAATTCACATATTCACACAGTCAATTTTTTGCAAAAATTTGCATTTAAAAATATTGGTTAAAAGGGCAATCAATCAGAAACCCAAGGTGCCAATCAAAACAATGAAACAACAAAGAAACAAAAGCACAGCAAAATTGCCATGGTCCATGAAATTGAGCTGCAGGAAACAGCATGAATATGAATGTAAAGAAAATGTTGCTTGAAAGAGAAGGCCTCTCCTTCAAAATTAAAATGGTGTGATCTGAAAGACACCTACAGGAAGAAGTTTAAATCGCTTTTCCTAA